TACAAACAAGCAGAGAAAGCTTTGAAATTTACTACAAGAATGTTACTCACAAAAATCAATCTTAACAGAACAAGTGGGTGAGCAAAAATTGCTTTTTTGACGACCATTCAAGTGAGAAAAAAGTATTCTTATGTTAGTTTATTTTCATTCCATTATTTTTTAAACCTTATACTCAAAGTATGAGTGAAAAAACACTCTTCTGTGAGAAAAAAAAATATTGGACAAAGAACAACTCTACATTAAAAAAATAATAAACTTTTATGATGTAACAACCCTATAAAAATCTTATTCATTTACATGTATTCCAAGTGTGATATATCACAATCGGTAATTAAATGCCAGTATTTGTTTTAAGTCCTACAGTACCGTGCTTAGCATGTTACTCTAAAAGGAAAACTTTAAGACAATTACATACTGATGATTTTCTTATTGTTCTGATCTTAGTACCAAGAATATGACTTCAAAATATTAAATCATAAAATGATTTCCGTATAGAGAAATTTCCACACAAAAGAGTCAAGTTTAAGGTAACAATTTCACACCTTAAATTTACAAGAATGTTTACCTGAAGTACAACAATCGAAAAACTGAAGATGCCTTCACTATGTGCATCCACATCTCTGTTTGTCCATATCAGATAGAAAATTCTAAAAAAAAAAAAAAAAAAAAACTATCCTATTATCCTTGCCGTAATTACAAATGCATCATTTAAGAATTAAGCAAAAAGTAGAAAATAGCAGAAAAAAGTAAACAGTCGATAGGCAAGAATAAAAATACTGACATCAAGTGATATGAAATCGTAATATATTTGTTTGATATGATGACATCAATATAATGGATTTAAATAAAATTATAAAGCAAATGATTCAAACAAAAATTCCTTATATGTATCATCAGGTTTTGCTCCTCGCATCTATACTTGGATTGTGCTGCAAAAGTTCCACAGACACATTTTTGGAGTGCGCTGGAGAAACTCACGTTCATAAAGGTGTGAATTTAATATTTTCCAGCGATATTGAATAATATATTGATCAATTCATATGTAGTTTAATGTTTTCTCTGTTTTTTTTAAAATGCTCTTTAAATATTCACATGTTTTAACTCATGTATTTCTCTAATTGCAGTAGCTTATGTTGATACAATGCAACGACAAGATTTGATCTACTTTCCTTGCCCAAACACAGAACCTGATATAGAGAAACTGAACAAACAACAAAAAGTAATTCAGCTGGATAAAAAACTTAAAAGCTTTGGTATATCCTGGGTAAAGAGTACTTTGTATGTTCTACTGCTCGCAATTGTGTGTGCACACAATACTATAACAGAGGCCTTCAGACAGAACGAATATATGAAAGGATCGGTCAAAGATACATTTTTGGTGAGATTACTAATTTTAAGGTAGTACACAATAGATAGGCTAAATTTTTTCCACAAAATCATTTTTTGAAACTTTGATATTTTGTTCTAGAATAGAAAATCTATCTTGTTATAATTAATAAATATTTTGAAAGAAATTTAACCATACATTTTTTTGCCCACATAGTTCGAAATATGGCCAATCAGATCCCTATAAGAAAATTGTGAAATTAGACATCTGGCTTGAAAATGAACCTTATTTCAAAATTATCTATTGATTTGTTGCAAATTTGTGTGATATTAATTATAATGACAATGCTTTTGTTACTTAAACTCAGTAAGTATAGTGTAAGGACTTTGAGTGAAATATATTATAATTGAACAGGCATAGCGTTGGAATTGAAAATGCATATGTAGATATGCGACACTTTAAGTTTTCTTAAGAGAAAATGTAAAAAAAATAAAATAAAAAATAACAGAATGTTTTACAAGGGTTCCAGAATAAAATGTGTAAAAATAAGGAAAATTGAACCAGACTGGGTGATTTCAGATATTTTTCGACTTCTGAATTTCACATTAATTATAGTGCTTGTCTGATTCAGTGATATATGAAATCTTTTTATTTTGCATCCAGGCGTGTCTATATAATATTCGAATTTCCTCTTTATGATATTGATAGATACATGATGCCATGATGTTACCTGAAATACAAAAGCATTAATGTTCTTTTGTTACCGTATTTCTACAGACCGAACACAAGTCAACTGAACTAATTTTGTTTCTTTTGATGAATTCAAAGAAAAAAACGTAGTATTTAAAATGGAAATAATGTTATTTAATCAAATGACACAGAGCAAAAATACAAGTAGTTAGGGGAGGGGCAGACTAGGCTAGAAAAAATATAAACAACACAAAAATCTTTGGCATATTATGCAAGCTATAATTATTCTCATAAGAGTGTTAATTATGTATAAAAAACATGTCTGAATAGAAATTAATTAGAAACATTGCATGGTATTTCCTGCCTGCAGGTATACATCAATTCTATGAATAAAATTTACACATATCTTAATTACAGTAATGCGGTTCATATTTTTTTGCGTAAAAAGGTAATGAAGCTTCTTTTATTTTTCATCAAATGCTATTTATATATTTACATGTACACATAATATAATTATTGCCATTTTTTCTTTGCTTTCTTTAATGTTAAATATTCTAGGCAAACACCACAGATGACATATATGTTTGGATAGAAACTTATTTCATTCCAAACGTGTGGCCAAAGTGGTACGAAAACCAGGCTCTGCGAACTGCATACGAGCAAAGATTTATGTATGATCAATATAGTTATAGGATGTCGGATTCCATTTTGAGACAAGTCAGGTCCGGTAAGAGCTAAAACATCAGTTTTTTTTATGTATTCAATTGAAATGTTTAAAGAAGAAATCTTGTCAAATTGTAATAAAAACTAAAGATACTATGAGAACATATCTTACAAAATAACACAAAACACAATGTGAAAAAACTTAATTTTCCTTTTTTGCATTGGACACTTGCAAATATATCAGATCAGAACATAAAATAGATGGAACCCAATTGTACTGTTTATAAGTTTCAAGGGAAACTTAGATTTTGTTCACCGGTACGGTGTGAGTTGCGAACAGGGGACGGGTATTCCCAATGTTAGATAAAGAATGGGAGTGTTCTTGTTTTGCTAATTATAAGGGACACCTTAGATATCTGTCTGATCAAAATACATGTAATGGGTTATGCGTACCTCAGTGTGCCGGATGTACGGAAGGACGTATTACGTTCAGAGGGACGCCTCTGTCAGCATTTACAGTATTCTTTAAAGAAAACACTTCACAGTACTGCTCCACGCAATAACTAGTCGACGTTGTACAGTATAATTGTTTATGTGTCCATCATTACAGGGAATTGTTCTACGATTGAGGAAATGACAAATGCAGTCCCACGATGTATCGAAGATTACAAGTCAGAAAATGAAGACAGTGCACTTTATTGTAAAGGTATCTTTAATCAAAAAGGATATTATCACTTAATTTATTCAAATTAAGCATATGAATACTTTAAGGGGAGATAACATATATTACAACATTGAAATAGGTTTCTTTTTTGAAAGGATGGATACCACAAATATCCAGTAATGAAAATTGCTCTGATGAATATGACCCCATAGACAACAGCTTCGTTTACCGTACAGCAGAAGAATTAAAGTCTATAGTTTATATAGGAGAATTAGCTGTCTACGGAGGTGGGGGTTACATGATAGATTTAGGACCAAAGCAGTCGTTAGTGAATCAATACATCAGTCAACTTCGTAACCTTTCGTGGATAGACGGCTATACACGAGCGGTATTCATCGAAACCAACACCTTTAACGCGAACACTAGATTGTTTACACATCTGAAAATAGTGTTTGAATTATCTGAATACGGTTCCATTTATATGAAGTCTACCGCCGAATCTTTGAATTTGTATCCTTATGTCACAAGTATGGATTATATTGTGTTGGCTTGTCAGTTCATTTTCATGATAGTTGTAATTGTACGACTCGTGTTCTTTGCTATACATGTTTTCAAAACAAAACATACCTGCATGGCATCTTTCTCTTCTTGGGTAACAGCAATCGACATAACAATGTGTCTGAGCGCGATAGTGTTTTACATTTTACGGATAGATTTAACGATAAAAACGGTGGATGATATCATTGAAAATAAAGGTAAGCAGACAATAAGATTTAATATTTATTATGGCAAACAACTGTTTTAAATCGATCCATTAAAAACTTGTAATTCTATTTTTTCAGGGTCATACGTATCCTTCGAGTATGTCGAGATGTACGATTTGGTATACAAAACAGCGTTTGGAATGGTTTTCTTTTTTGGAGTTCTTGAATTTCTTCAACCGCTGACGATGAACTACCACTTCTTTATCCTGCAAAAATCCCTTTTAAGGGCCAGATATGATCTTTTCATGTCTATATTTTTAATAACACTGGCAATAGTTTCATTTGGATCGTACCTTTATCTCTCATTGGGAAAACATGCTGACAATTTTAAGGATTTATACTCTTCTATTATTACACTTCTACGCATGTTACTTGCAATGATTTCCTTTCGTTTAAATTCCAGCTTGAACTCGACAGAAGGAAGGATCGTTACAAGCCTGTTTTTCTTTACTATATCAATAATTGGGATAAACCTGTTTATAGCAATTCTTTTCAGCCATTTTGCCGACGTCCAGGCAATGCAGAAAAAGCATAAGGTGGGATTCTCATATTTTTCTTGTATTTACAATTTAATGAAGTTTTCACAGAATCAAGAAGACAATATCACTTAATGATCTTATCAGTGAGATTAACTTTGACCCTTTCTTATTAGATGCAAGGTGAAGTCAAGGTTATTACCTTTTCCCTGGACATTAAGAATAAAATATTACTGTTGCCAATTGTGCGATCCCTACTAGTATTTCAAAAGATTGAATTGTTTCCTTTCGCATAAAATGATACTACCATATAGGGCCTAGAAAATGATATAACTAAATTGACATAAATGATACTAAAATAGAATATTGGTTTATTCGAATTTTCTCTACTTTTCTTAACTTTTTAGGATATTTTAGTTATTTTTATGTACGCCCTATTTAATTTTTTCTTATTTTCACATATATGGAGATACAAAATGATACAAATACAATTGGTTTTGATAGTTTAATTAGAGAGAGAAAAAAAAACTTTTTACGGATTTTTGGCTCAAGTCTGTACGTAGACTGGAAGCTTTTTTAAAGGGGCATGGACACAGTTTCAGCTAAAATTTCAAAATTTATTTTTCCATTTTACAAATATTTAACTAATGTCTTTCAAGTGATCATCAAAAATTTGAATGCAGTTGTCCAGATACAAGACAGATTTAGAGCTCCAAACCTTTGTTATATAAACAAGGCTACTGGCATTTTTTTGTTTAGACAGGTTGATATACTAATATATGTTCGTTTAAAGGAGATAGTTTCAAATAAAAGTTAATTTTAAATACAATTTGACAGTTACTATTGATTTGCTGAACTTCATTTTATTAGAAATATGTAAACAAAAATTAACAAGGCACGGGCCTTATTTACATTATGAAGAACTGTATCTTGTTTGTTAATCAACAAATGATGTTCAAATTGTTGCTAATCAATAGATGATGCCTTCGGTAGGAATTGTAAACATTAAAATTGTTTTTTTTTAATCGGTTGAAACTGTGTCCAGGCCTTTTTAAAGCTAATTTGTACATTTCTAGTATATTTGCAAAATCATATTTATTTGATATACAATGTACTAGTAGTTTGAAAATTTAGTCCCTTATTATTAATTTAAATTACATTTGAAATTTTCTTCCAAGTCATTGATTGTGTAAAAATTGTAACTGAATTCATTGTTCTATAATAATTTTGAGAAGCAGAAAAGAAGATATTTTCATGCGCCCTTATTCCGCCAAAAATATAATCCCTGCTAGTTTTCAATAGCAGATTATCATTTCTATTTAAAGTTGTACAATTGTGTTGAGGAAAGAAAATTATAGTTTTTTAAATCTCTTATGCCTAAATATTTAAGACATGTAAGTAAGTATACTTTGAATATTTTATGAAGTCAGAAACCAGAGAATCCTACATTAATTCGCCAGAATCTGAAAAGAAAACAGATAAAAGTGAGGATGTGTTTGATTATGAATTGAATCAACATGTGTGGAGGCAATTGGATCGTATCACTCATATCTTTCTAGAAAGACAAGTACATGCAGGTAAGAATAATAAAAAATTGGGCTTGAAATTAATCTAGTGTATTAGTGTATATAGGACACCCCCCCTTTTAACAGGTGAGCGAATTTTAAACTGGGCAAATAGAAAGAATACAGTATAATTTCTTTTAAAAGCAGTGACTGGGCGAAATTTAAACGGGGCAAAATTGTTTGCAAGTGTTAAGGGGCGCAAATAACACGGAACGAAAATAACATTTTATACTGTACAAATGTACACTTAAAACTTGTCAGTAAACGCATGCTGTATATCTTACAATATGTTGTGATTACAAGAGCAGTACATAAAATTTTAGTGAATTGCGTTTATTGTCCAGTATTTATCATTCATTTCTAACGTTAAAGGGGAAGGTTTTTACATTATAAGGGGGAAAGGGTGATTTTAAAAATAATACTCTGTCTCTGTACAAAACTTTTTGAAATTGAATTCAAATTGAGAAAATAGAATTATTAATAATCGGGATGAGGATGAACCATCATTACAAGAATAATTTCAAGGAAGTAATTCTTGAAATGTATTTTTATCGTTCTTCATTTCTGTTTTTCTCATTGACTGATTAAATTGTTGATTTACAGGGTATATGAAAAAATTCAGAGCTTTATATATATCAGGAAAAGATTAACATTCCGTGCCCGTTTTGAAAGTTTAAGGTCTTTTTTCTCTTTTGTGGTTTCCGAGGAAGAAAATAGTGTCTGTTCCCAGTCATCTTGGTCAAATTTTAAGGTATCCGACCTATATTAGGACCAAATTTTCTAACCTTAAAAATAAATATAAATTGTGTATAAAATACTCCAATGTAATTTCAAAGCATTTTATAGTATAAAAGTATTCACCAAGGGAAACGCTTTATTTTCAAAGCAGTATTTAATGGTTTAAAATTGCATTAAAGTCTATGGAACGAAGTAAAATATTATAACAAAAAATAAAAACTATGCATTTGAATATCAAGAAATGCTTTGGTGGAAACATGAATTTGATCATAAGAAATAGAAAAATGATTGAAAATTATTTTTTCACCAGATATATTTTTAGAATAGATTTTATTGAGAAAAATCAAAGGGTACTAACTCTTTACGGACAGGGCAGGGTCATAAATTAGATCACGCCCTGCTCTATCATACTGATACTAAAACAAGAAATTCAACACAAGAAATATACTGAGTATCCAGCCCACACATATTTGTAACTCATTAAATTCCATTGAATCTGAGGCTTATGTGGGTCGGATACCTTAATATTCCATCCTTTAAAAATCTGACTGAAAAAAACCAAAAGTCTTGTCAGTATGCACCGTAGTAATATTAAGTAAATATTCTTGGTTAAATTTTTTTATTACCTTGTTATTCCATGCAACAAAGAAAAAAACACTTTTTCAAATAAAAAATTTTAATTAAAGTCATTCAATTTTTACATTTAGAGTCATTTCCTCAATCTTTTCCGGAGGATGTGCTGCAAAAGGTAACCGATTTACTCTTATGACATTATCGGCAATACTTTAAAGTTAAATCCATTATATCACATGTTTGTAGCGTATCTGAACTCACGTAACAGTTGAGATTCTATCAATTAACTAAGTTAAGTAAGATTTACATATTTGAAAATTTTTTAAACTTTAAAATGATCATTACTTTTAAAATGGTCAGGCTTTTATATTATACAATATATCAGACATGTGTATTAACTGTGACAAGACCTTTCTAAATACAGTATGATTTGACCCCGCATTCATGAATTTTGATCTTCTTTTCAAATACTTTAACCTTTGTCATAACTTTTGAATGAGAACAGATGAAGCTTTCTTATTTGACACCTGCATTTTCCTGTAACAAAATATCTGAACATGCTATAATTTTTTACCCTTTGACCTTCATGTTTGACCATATTTTCATAAAAAATGTAACTGTGGTTATTTCTTTTGCATTACATAAGATAAAAGAAACATCTCCGTCATAACACCTGTAGAATCATTGGAAAGACCTTTAACTTGCTTTCAATTAAAAAAAAAAACAAAGATGTAGAACTCAATTTGGTTACCCATTTTTGCCAATGAAATTCATTTACAATACAATTACAGTTTTTTTTCTGAAATACATTTTCATATATTACTACCAATCTTCATTTTGAAATTCTGTTTATTACTACATGTACATGTACTACTAGATAGCTTGTTCTCTGATCGACTGTCACGTTTATTAAACACTTTTTAAAAATTAAAATAATTTTTATTATGATGTATGCATCGTTATTTCCTGTCACGATTGTTCTTTTTCATCATATGCTGTATGCGTTTCATGCCATCTTAACGTGAAATAACAGCAACTTAATTATGAAAAACCACCACGTAATCTAGCTATATATTGTTCAAAACATTTTTTTTCTTTTTCTTTCCAATAATAGCTGGACATTTTAGATCAGCATATCAAGTTGAAATGCCACGATGAATATCGGTTTATGAAGGTACTTGCTTGCATCCTTTACCTCACTAAAACTCTGCGATGGAATATGAACATGGCATTAGATGTCACTGCAGACTACAGCAAAAAAACTGGAATGAGATACAAGTAATATTATTTTTACTAATATCGCCTTTAAAACATCCCTTAAATTGTCAAGATGGGATATTTGAATTTTTTCTGTGATTTTCTGAATTTCTTTGCATCTGTCGGGGTTTTTTTTTTGATAGCCCACCTGAACCGAAGTCTCAAAATACTCTGTTGGCTTTCTTCGTTTGAGTAAAGAGTTCTTCTTAAAAACCTTTGGGTAAATTTAACCGATAGAAACGTAAAATCTCTGGGTGAGGGGAATGAAAGTTTGTTCAAATGAAGGGCCGTGTTCAAATGAAGGGCCGCATTATCTTTCATGACACTTGACAATTTATATTAGAAATTTTGATGAATGTTAAAATCTAACGGGACTGGAAAAACGATTTGGATTTTATTTTTATAGAAAATTAGTTATCACATCTTTTTTTTCTACTTGACTACAATCAGTTTTTCATTTATTTACTTTTGTCGGTTTGCAATACAAAGACTTGTACTTTTCTGATCACTTTTGGTCTGTAGTCCGCTTGTCCGTCCGTCTGTATACTTTTCACTTCTTCTAATTCTTTAGAACCACGATGATACCCGGCGATAGGATGGAGCGACAATGTGTTATTTCTAATTACTAATATACATATCCGCCAACCAATATTACCAGTGTTCTTTCATGGTTTTTATAGGAAAGCCAAACTAGACTTTTTACAAAAATGTCCTATTAATACGATAATTACTTTTCGAATAGATTTTTTAAAAATAGTCAACAGACATGATCTTTTACCTTGTGTTATAAAGCGGAATAAGATATGTAAAGTTAGCTACTAGTAACTGATTACGACAAGTGGTAAAGTTAGCTACTAGAAGCTGGCTACGAGAAGTAAGTAAATTTGGCTACTAGTAACTGGCTACGAGAAGTATGTAAAGTTGGCTACTAGTAACTGGCTACTAGTAGCTGGCTACGACAAGCATGTAAAGTTGGCTACTACTAACTGGCTACTAGTAAATGACTTGAACCTTATACAAATAACCGTCTAGTATCTTTTGTGTAGAATTATGTAAACTTGGGATACAAATGTTGATATTCTTGAAGTAGCTGGAATTTTACACCGCTGATATCCACTGATACTGTTGAAAAAAAAACAATCTATGAGCTTTTCAACGTAATCTGGCACTGAAGTTACCAAGTTATCGGTAGTAATAAACTCAGCTACTAGTGCCTTTTGTCTAGAATTATGCTATTTGGGAGACAAATGTTGATATTTGTAAAGTAGCTGGTTTGTTACCTCGCTGATATCAACTGATATTGCTGATAAAAATAATCTCTAAAATATTCCACATGATCTGGCAGTAAAGTTACCAAGATATTGTTAGTAATGAACTCAGCTACTGGTACCTTTTGTTTCAAATTATGCTATTTTTGGAGACAAATGTTGATATATTTAAACTAGCTGTTTTTTTACCTCGCTGATATTAATTGATATTGCTGATAAAAATAATCTCTAAGATATTCCAAATGATCTGGCAGTAAAGTTACGAAGATATCGTTAGTAATGAACTCAGCTACTGGTACTTTTTGTTTCAAATTATGCTATTTTTGGAGACAAATGTTGATATTTTTAAAGTAGCTGGTTTGTTACCTCGCTGATATCAACTGATATTGTTGATAAAAATAATCTCTAAGATATTTCACATGATCTGGCAGTAAAGTTAACAAGATATCGGTAGTAATAAACCCAGCTACTAGTATCTTTTGTTTCAAATTATGCTATTTTTGAAGACAGATGTTGATATTTTTAAAGTAGCTGGTTTGTTACCTCGCTGATATCAACTGATATTGCTGATAAAATAATCTCTAAAATATTCCACATGATCTGGCAGTAAAGTTACCAAGATATCGTTAGTAATGAACTCAGCTACTGGTACCTTTTGTTTCAAATTATGCTATTTTTGGAGACAAATGTTGATATATTTAAACTAGCTGTTTTTTTACCTCGCTGATAGTAATTGATATTGCTGATAAAAATAATCTCTAAGATATTCCAAATGATCTGGCAGTAAAGTTACCAAGATATCTTTAGTAATGAACTCAGCTACTGGTACTTTTTGTTTCAAATTATGCTATTTTTGAAGACAAATGTTGATATTTTTAAAGTAGCTGATTTGTTACCTCGCTGATATCAACTGATATTGCTGATAAAAATAATCTCTAAGATATTCCACATGATCATGCAGTAAAGTTACCAAGATATCATTAGTAATGAACTCAGCTACTGGTACCTATTGTGTAAAATTATGCTATATTTGGAGACAAATGTTGATATTTTTTAAGTAGCTGGTTTGTTACCTCGCTGATATCAACTGATACTGATGATAAAATAATCTCTAAAATATTCCACATGATTTGGCAGTAAAGTTACCAAGATATCGTTAGTAATGAACTCAGCTACTGGTACCTTGCTATTTTTGAATACAAATGTTGATATTTTTAAAGTAGCTGGTTTGTTACCTCGCTGATATCAACTGATATTGTTGATAAAAATAATCTCTAAGGTATTTCACATGATCTGGCAGTAAAGTTAACAAGATATCGGTAGTAATGAACTCAGCTACTTGTACTTTTTGTTTCAAATTATGCTATTTTTGAAGACAAATGTTGATATTTTTAAAGTAGCTGATTTGTTACTTCGGCTGATATCAACTGATATTGCTGATAAAAATAATCTCTAAGATATTCCACATGATCATGCAGTAAAGTTACCAAGATATCATTAGTAATGAACTCAGCTACTGGTACCTATTGTGTAAAATTATGCTATATTTGGAGACAAATGTTGATATTTTTGAAGTAGCTGGTTTGTTACCTCGCTGATATCAACTGATACTGATGATAAAATAATCTCTAAGAAATTCCACATGATCTGGCAGTAAAGTTACCAAGATATCGTTAGTAATGAACTCAGCTACTGGTACCTTGCTATTTTTGAATACAAATGTTGAAATATTTGAAGTAGCCGGTTTTTTACCTCACTAATATCAACTGATATTGCTGATAAAGATAATCTCTAAGATATACCACATGATCTGGCAGTAAAGTTACCCAAGATATCGTTAGTAATGAACACAGCTACTGGTACCTTTTGTTTCAAATTATGCTATTTTTGAAGACAAATGTTGATATTTTTGAAGTAACTGGTTTGTTACCTCGCTGAAATCAACTGATGTTGCTGATAAAAATAATCTATAGACCATTCCACATGATCTGGCAGTAAAGTTACCAAGATATCATTAGTAATGAACTCAGCTACTGGTACCTTTTGTTTCTAATTATGCTATTTTTGAAATCAAATGTTGATATTTTTGAAGTAGCTGGTTTTTTACCTCGCTGATATCAACAGATATTGTTGAAAAAAAACAATCTCTAAGATATTCCACATGATCTGGCAGTAAAGTTACCAAGATATCGTTAGAAATGAACTCAGCTACTGGTACCTTTTGTTTCAAATTATGCTATTTTTGAAGACAAATGTTGATATTTTTTAAGAAGCTGGTTTGTTACCTCGCTGATATCAACAGATATTGCGGATAAAAATAATCTCTAAGATGTTCCACATGACCTTGCCCTAAAGTTATAAAGATATCTGTAGTAATAAACTCAGCTACTGGTACCTTTTGTTTCATATTATGCAATTTTTTTATGGAGATGTTGATATTCTAGAAGTAGCTGGATTTTTACACCGCTGATATCCACTGATTTTGTTTATAAAAACAATCTCTGAGCTTTTCCACATGATTTGGCACTAAAGTTACCGATATATTAATAGTAATAAACTCAGCTACTGGTACCTTTTAGCATATTTATATACATATTTACAAATAGCGAACGCTGAATGAAGTTTTTCTCCTTGTTTGGGACGTCACAATGTGAAAATGACGTCACTATTTAGGTCACTTGTGACGAAAATGGTTGTCTCAGTCGAGCTCGTTCAACAAAGGACTGTACAATTTATTGTATATCTTAGAAATCCTTCTGCAGTATCAAATAATAATTTGTACACAGTTTATTAAGATAAACGAGTTCCTATATATTCAATTAATGATTGGATTGATCGTTTTAGTGAAGGAAGACAGAAGGTTAAAAATGATACTTGTCATCTTGCCCAGTGAAGGCAAGTTTGAAAAGAGATATGTTTTTATTTTTTAATTAAGCAATTTGCTACCAAAACTTCAATTTACACTTTACATTTTATTTGAACAATAATATAGTTATTAAATACCGAAGATATCGTTTACTTTACATTTTAAAGATATTAGATATTACGAGGGTTGTCCAAAGAGTTCGTGGACAATGACGTTTTTGTGAAAATATATGGTTCTATATTAATCTGTTGTATATCGAAACATTTCTTATGAAAAAGCAAATCAGAATGATATAATTCTTATTGATGGAACTTAATATTTTTGTAAAAATCGGGGTCTTTGAAGGTCGCGGATAGTGCGTACGGACCAAGGTTAAAATGACATAAACTCTGATATAAAGTGTCCATATTATAACGATTTTTTGTGTCAAAACTCGACAAAAAAAGCGACGTCAGCCGTTCGCACGGGGCAGCGTCCGATTAAAAAGAAATGTTTTTGTACTGTTGAAACGACGTATAAGACAAAATATTTGTTAAAACAACTCAGAACTATTGAAATATATTTAATGTATGACTGTCAGATTGGTATATACTATTTTTAAACGGTGTGTACAAATTCGATGACACTACAAGAATTTAACAACACATGAAATTTACTGAAATTGGAGATTTCCATTCATGACGTTGAACATTATAAAACTAGCGCAGCGTCGTACTGGGTTGTGCAGTTTGTGTATACAAACTGTTTATTTAGATGACGCTCGTAATTTTTAGCTCTACTGGTCAGAGACCAGAAGAGCTTATGCGATAGTAATGCGTCCGGCGTCCGTCCGTCTGTCCGTCTGTCTGTCCGTCTGTCTGTAAACAATTTTTCAAAATGCTACTCCT